TGGTTTACTCCCCAAATAGTCACCACAGCTGGGGCTGGGTCAGGTTGAAGCCAGGAGCCAAGAATTCTGTGGGGTCTTCCATGTAGGTAGCAGGGACCTAAGCACTTGGACCATCATCCATTGCCTCCCAGACCCACTAGCAGTGAGCTGGATTGGAAGCAAGGCAGCCAGGACTCAAATTGACTATCCAGTGTGGTATTTAGGGATCCCAAGCAGTGACTTACCCCACTTTGTTATAGAGCCTGCCCCAATAGTACCTTTTCTTAAATCTAGGTTCTTATATAATAATTTCATTCCTTATCCCCTTTATTAGTCAGCACTTTTATTTTTCATTCCCATATGAATGTGGCTTTTGGTTTTACTTTATCTCACTTTTATATGACTTCTGAAATCCTTTGGCATGTAGGTGATAAATAAAATCAATCAATATAGATAATTATTTAAAGTGTTAGTTTTCCAGTGCTTAATTTGGCTCCTAGCATTAAACATTGACTCCTTATTTTTATAATATTAATAGGAGAACAATGTATATACAGTTTCCTCTGATGAAAATCAAAACCAATGTATAAAATCATAATGTTGTTGTGAAGTATTAAACTTCTGCCTCTCAAACGAAGTTTTCTGAACTACTGAGCCAGGATTTTCCTTATCACCTTTAATATCATTGGATTAATAGAAATTTTCTTGTGTCAAGTTCCTTTTTCTTTTAAAGATAGATTTAAATTTTTGGATGACAGTTTGAGAGAGAGAGGGAGAGACAGAGAGAGAGAGGACTTCCATCTGCTGGTTCACTCCCCACATGGCAGCAATGATCAGGGCTGGGCCAGGCTGAAGCCAGGAGCCTGGAACTCCATCCAGGTCTCCGATGTGGGTGACAGGGCCCAAGTACTAGGGCCATTATCTGCTGCTTTCCCAGGCACGTTAGCAGGGAGCTGGATTGGCAGTGGAATAGCCAGGACTGGAACCAGCGCCCATATGGGATGCTGGCTTTGGTTTTCCCTGCTATACCACAACACCAGCCTCACGTCAAGTGCTGTCTGAATATCACCCCTCTGTGATAAACTTAGGAAATTCCTAGTTAGAACAATATTTCAAGGTGAAAAATTTGAAATAAAAGCACATTTTTTGGGTAGCTTTTTAAAAAACAGCTGCTCATGGGACTGGCATTGTAGCACAGCAGTTTAAGCCACTGCTTGAACTGCTAGCATCTCATATTGCAATGCTGGTTCTAGTCCTGGCTGCTCTGCTTCCAATTTAGCTCCCTGCTTAATGTTCTTAGGAAAGTGTAGATGACAGCCCAAGTACTTGGGCCCCTGCCATGCACATGGGAGACCTGGATGGAGTTTCTGGATCTTGGCTTCAGCCTGGCCTAGCCCTGTCCATTGTGGCCTTTTGAGGAGTGAACCAGTGAATAGAAGATCTGTTTGTCTGTCTATTTGTTTCTCTCTGTGTGTCTCTCCTTCTCTGTCACTCTGCCTTTCAAATAAATATTTTTTTAAAAAGCAACTCATAGCTGATGAAATGTAGTTAAGTCCTTTCCATGTAGATTGTTGAGTATTTAATTTCTCAATCTTTAAAGGAAATTGGTGGATTTGGATGAAATTTAATGTGTGGCTAAAACATATCTAGAATGTCTTAATTGAAACAAAATGGTACCTTACCCACTTTTTTTTAAAAGTCTATTTTACATGGTTCTGAGGCTTTGTTTTATTTATTTATTTATTTATTTATTTATTTATTTATTTATTTTGAGAGGCAGAAAGAGAAGGAGGGAGAGAGAGGAAAACTGGAGAGATAGAGATCTCCTATTTGTTGGTTTGCTCCTCAAATGCCAACAACAGCAGGGGCTGGGCTAGGCCAAAGCAGGGAACCAGGAACTCAACTTGGTTCTCCCATGTGGGTGCCAGACCCAAGTACTTGAGCCATCACTGCTGCCTCCCTGGGTGAACATTAGCAGGAAGTTGGGTGGGAAGCTGAGGAGCTGGGATTCAAACCCAGGTACTCTGATATGGGATGTGTCCCAATCAGTGTCCTAGTCCTAGGTGCTGGGCCAAATGCCTGCTCTGAGGCTTTTTTTTTAAAGTTAACTCCTTGATAGAGATTGATGTAAAGCTTGTAATCATCAAAGATTTTGTGAGCTACATACCCCAAAGGTAAAGAAAGTTCATATAAAAGACAGTTTTTTAACCTTTAAAGTTCCTTGAATAAAATGAGCCAAGACCCTTTGAAAACTAAAAATGGTTGCAGAGACTTTCTCAGTGCCACTAGAGAGAGCGCAGCATTTACTGGGGTTCCTCTTACCCAGCCGGGAAGGCCCCATAGAAGTGCCCTGGAGAGGCAGGGAGGGGCTGCCCCCACCACTGTGCCTCTTACCTGAGCAGCCTCCATGGCCTAGGCTCACGATGCTCCTAAAGGGACCATAAGGCTCCTGTCCATCCCCTTCCTCTTAGCTGTCATCCTCCATCCTTGCCTTGAAAGCCAGGCTCCTTGAAGATCATTTATATTTTCTTTCTTTTTTTTATTAAAAATTTTTATTTTATTTATTTTAAAATCAGAGTTACACAGAGAGAAGAGAGGGGGAGAGAGAGAGAGAGAGAGAGAGAGAGAGAGAGAGAGAGAGAGATCTTCCATCCGTTAGTTTCACTCCCCAATTGGCTGCAACGGCTGGAGCTGCACTGATCTGAAGCCAGGAGCCAGGAGCTTCTTCCAGGTCTCCCACGCAGGTGCAGGGGCCCAAGGACTTGGGCCATCTTCTGCTGCTTTTCCAGGCCATAGCAGAGAGCTGGATGAGAAGTGGAGCAGCCAGGTCTCGAACCGGCGCCCATATGGGATGTCAGTGCTTCAGGCCAGGGCATTGACCCACTGTGCCACAGTGCCAGCCCCAATCATTTATATTTTCTATCTAAACTGTCTTTCTGTTTTCCTCTCTTTTAATCATAAAATTAAAACCAGCACATAATTTAAAGAAATCTCAGTGGCTGTAAGTGAAACATAGACTTCACCCTCTAAATGCTTGCCACAGCTAGGGCTGAGAGAGGCACAAGCTAGGAGCTCAGAACTCAGTATGGGTCTCACCAGAGATCACTTGCTGCTTCCTAGGGTTTCCATTAGCAGGAAACTAGAATTGGAAGTGGAGCTAGGACTTGAGCCCAGGCACCCTGATATGGGATGTGGGTGTGTCAGGCAGTGTTGTAACAGATGTGCCAAAAACTCATCCCTTGAAGTCGTATCTTCTAAGTTCATTTGTACTGTCCTCTGGTCCCTCTCTGCTCAGTCTACCTGAACAATTCCTTCTTCATCAATGGTTCTTGTTCAGTGTAGTTTTGACTCAAAGCTGTGTGTTCATCTTATGCTGTTCTCTTCAGGTCTAGATTCATGTGTGTATCACCACCTGCTGTATAACATTTTATAATATATACAAAATTGAATTTGTCATCTATGCTCCCAAACATGTTCTTTTCCGTATTTTTTTCTCTCAGGTTAACTGCATCATCTGCTTAATTATTTAAGCCATAAATCCAGACATTATTTATTTGGCTACTCCCCACTCTGCCCCGCCCAGCCCCGGCCCATCAGTCACCAAGTCTTCATGGTTCTCTGTGTTTAATATCACTGGAGACAGTTTCTTGTCTATCCTGACCACCACAACCTTGATTAAGGCCCCCACCATTTTTAATTTTGGACTTTTCTGAAAATGAGTCAGTCTCCTGTTTTGCATGAGTTTTGATTGTCTTCAGAGTAAAAAATCTAAGTGTGATACTGTTTGCCGATCTAGCCTCCTTGCCTAATACTTTGTCCTCTGAGGCTTCCACTTTGCAGTAAACTGTAAGTAGTTCCCTAGATATATCATGCTCATTTGTGCTCTGGTGTTTTGAAGGTACTGTTCCCTTTGTCTTATGTGCCCTTCCACATGTCTTCACCTGGTCAGTGCCTCTCACTTTCAGTTCTCACCTCAGGCATCACCTTCTCTGAAAAGCCTGCCACAGCTGCCAGCCTGGGGCAGGTCCCACTCTCATGGGAGAGCTCAGGCTCCTGGTCTTCCCCGTGTCGTGGCACTGCTCTTAACAGCACTAATGACAGACCGCTGAGCACCGCTGGGTCAGTCATCACGCCATAGCTCACTGTCAGTGGTAACACAACACCAGAGCCTGGTGCTTTTGTCCTCAAGACAGCCCTACGAGCTCTTTCCATCCTGATTCTGTACATAAGGGCATTGAATCACAGAGGAGTTGAGCAACTTGCCCAAGGTCACACAGCTAGTAAGCAGCAGAACGCTAGCCTCTGAACCCCGTTGTGTCCCCCAGCACCCGTGCCACTGCCCTCAGTGCCACAGGCCAGTGGCTCTCACACTTGCACACACATCACAGTCACCCAGAGGCCTTGTTAAAACCCACATCGCTGCCCCCACTCTCCCGGCTCCTGCATCCGTGGGTGTGAGTGGGCCCAAGAGTTTGCATTTCTCACAAGCTTGCAGGGGATGGGGCCACACGTTGGGAGTCATTGTTCCCGGCGGTTGGCACTTTGTTGAAATCTCCTCTTCTTGTCTCTCTCCTCTGCTAAGGTGACAGCTCCTCTGGGACGGGAGCTGGCTTTGATTATCGTCCCTGTTCCCAGCACCAAGCCAAGTGGTTCTGACAAGGCTGGGCCCTCAGTAAATGTTGATTACAGTGAATGAGTGAGGAAATGTTTCTGGCCTCTTATTTGAGTGTCTGTCTGGCCTGATGTTTGTGTACTTCAAGAAGAATCCTCGGGTTTTTCTCTGTCGCACGCCTGGTGGGTGCTGGAGGGGCAGTGCTCAGTGGTTTTGCAAGGTTGGTGTCGATCACCTGATTGAAAACCGCTCAGAATCCCGAAGTCACCTTCATCAGGTGCTCTTTCCGGTGCAGGGCTCCCCTGTCTCTAGCTCGTCAATCACGATGTGCGAGTGACTCTCTGGCCCCCCTTCCTTCTGAGAAGCGCGGTGCTTTGGAGCGCTTGTGGCACCTGCGCTTCCCAGCTTGTGGGCTCCTCTCCGTGCCTGCACAGGGTCGAGGAGGAGAGAGTCGGGGTCCTTCTCTCAGCCAGTGTGGTGCTGTGTCACCCCCAGCCAGGCACCAAGCAGCCGACCAGAGGTCTGAGGGCTCTGGTCGTGTCTAGCGGCTAAAGTCTGCCAGAGTGCTATCGTCACATGTCACTTTGCTTGTTAAATAGGAACTACTAAAATATTTCTTATTGTTATAGGCTCTACGAGGACTTATTGAATACGTGAACAGACAAATTACCCAGCTTTGTGAAATTGTTTCAGAGATGCAACAATCTTCTAATAAACTAAAATGTGTAAGTGTTATGGAAACATTTTTATAACTTTGATAAACCTCTAGTTCCTAATGATACCAACCAATTTGAAGTAATAGAGAGTCAGCATGTTTGTGAGGCTAGCAAGTCTACTGTATACTTACTCCAGTAGCAGATGGAGGAATACAAGGGTTGGAAGGATGCTAAAATTTAGGTTTGATAAATTATGATACTAAGCATTTTTATGTTAATAATCATCATGTCTAAAATGTAATTGAAATGTAGGGTTGAAGAGGAATAAAAACCATGTAATCAAAATACAGCATTTACTATTAACAATGGTAAATGATGTTGCAGAGAAAGTAGGTATGAATGCTTTTTTTTTTTTTTTTTGACAGGCAGAGTTAGACAGTAAGAGAGAGAGACAGAGAGAAAGGTCTTCCTTTTTCTGTTGGTTCACCCCACAAGTGGCCACTACAGCCAGCGCGTTTTGGCCACCGCACTGTGCCAATCCGAGGCCAGGAGCCAGGTGCCTCCTCCTGGTCTCCCATGTGGGTGCAGGGCCCAGGGATCTGGCCCATCCTCCACTGCACTCCCGGGCCACAGCAGAGAGCTGGCCTGGAAGAGGAGCAACCGGGACAGAATCAGGTGCCCCGACCGGGACTAGAACCCCGTGTGCTGGCACCGTAGGCAGAGGATTAGCCTAGTGAGCCGCGGCGCTGGCTGGTATGAATGCTTTTACCAACTTTTTTTTAAACCAACTTTTTAATTTCCATTTTTACTTACAGTTGATTTATTCTAGGTTGTGACATTTTAGAGGTCATCTGTATTAAAAAAAAAATCCAAAAAACAACTTTTGATTGTATATCCCAGGAGAAAGTCTGGGAGCCAAAGAAAAGATTTTAATTCACTCTATTCTCTTAACCCTGGACAGGGAAATCATAGCACATTGCCAGAGGAAAATCAGGAAGCCCAGGCTTGGGCTGAGCCTCTGGGTGGATTTCTTAAGCCCGAAGATTATCCTAAATTCCAGCCGTCAGACTCCAAGGACAGTGCACTGCTTCCCAAAATTGTCTCCACGTGTTCATTACATCTGTGTACCAAACCAGGTAGCACTGCTACCTCATATTTCAAAAATACTACGACAGAACACGAAAAAGTCTTACCACCAGGAGAAACCACTCTGGCAAATAACCATGATGTGAGGCATTGCCCACCATTACTGCAAAATGAGAGCATGAACCCACATACTCCATCATCTTTCTGCATTGTTTCCAATTCTGGTGAGTCTGAAATAGCACACATTATTAAAGGACATCCTTCATTTCCGATTTAAAAGAACATATCCTTTATGCAAACTAGTGCTAATTATTTTCTCAATTAAAAACTTTGTATTGAGATTATTATAGATTTACATGTAGTTGTAAGAAGTCATATAGAGAGATACCCTTTACTCTTCATTCAATATCTCCCCAGTGATGACATCTCATAAAACTATGGTTGTATTTATGTGTGTCCGTGAATTTAGTTCTGTACAGTTTTATCACATGAGAAGGTTTATATGCTGACTACCAGCCAAGATCTATGACATTTCTGTTACCACAGGTTCATTTCTATCACACAAGATTGATTTGTTCTTTTATAACCAAACCCCTCCCCTTTTGGTGGCCCTACCCACCCTCACTCACACGTCTCTAACTCTTGGCAACCACTGCTCTGTTCTATAATTTTATAACTTCAATATTGCAATATAATTTGATGCATATAGTATATAACCTTTTGGTATTGCCATGTTTAACTCAACATAATTCCTTGGAGATTTAATCAAGTTGCTGCATGTATCAGTAATTTTTCCCTTTTCATGGCTGAATAGCATCCCATGGTATAGGTGTACCATGTGTAGCCGTTCATCTATTGAAGGGAATTTTTTCCCAGTTCTTGACTATTAGGATGAGGTTACCATGAGCATTGATATATGGATTTTTCTTTAACTGTAAGTCTTCAATTTTCTGATGCAGATTCCCAAGAGTATAATTATTGGTTATATGCTAGTTACATGTTTCATTATTTAAAATGTTTATTTAAAATTTTTCATCTACTTGAAAGGCAGAAAGAGAGAGAGAGAGAAAGAGAGAGAGAGAGAGAGAGAGATCTTGCCTCTGCTAGTTCATCCCTAAATACCCACAACAGCCAGTTATGGGCTGGGCTGAAGCCAGGATCCTGGAACTCCATATAGGTCTTCCAGGGGCCCAAGACCCTTAGTCCATTTGTCATCTGCTATCTCAGCATGCATTAGCAGAAAGCTATATAGGACACAGAAGTGCCAGAACTCTATTGGACTCTCCAATATAGGATACAGGCATTGAAAGTGCAAGTGATGACTTACCTGCTGCATCACAACACCTGTCCATGCATGTTTAGTTTTTTTAAAAAAACTTTATTAAGATATAATTGATGGGGCCAGTGCTGTTGCATAGCGGGCAAAGCAGCTGCCTGCAATGCCGGCATCCCATATGGGTGCCAGTTTGAGTCCTGGCTGCTCCACTTCTGATCCAGCTCTCTGGTATGGCCTGGGAAAGTAGTAGAAGATGGCCCAAGTGTTTGGGCCCCTGCACCTGCGTGGGAGACCCAGAAGAAGCTCCTGGCTCCTGGCTTCGGATCAGCACAATTCTGGGCCTGGCGGCCAACTGGGGAGTAAACCAAAGGATGGAAGACCTCTCTCTCTCTTTCTCTGCCTTGCCTTCTCTCTCTGTGTAACTCTGACTTTCAAATACATAAATAAATCTTTAAAAAATATATAATTGATGTCTTAGTCCATTTGTGCTGCTATAACAAGATATTAAAGACTGGCTACTAGAAAGAATTTATTTTCTCATGGCTTCAGAGGCTGGGAAGTTCTTTTCTTTATTTAATGAATATAGATTTCCAAAGTACAGCTTATGGACTACATTGGCATCCCCCTCCCCCCCGATGACTTCCCTCCCACCCGCAACCCTCCCCTTTCCCACTCTCTCTCCCCTTCCATTCATATCAAGATTCATTTTCAATTTTCTATATATACAGAAGATCAGTTTAGTATACATTAAGTAAAGATTTCAACAGTTTGCACCCACATAGAAACACAAAGTGAAATATACTGTTTGAGTACTCGTTATAGCATTAAGTCTCAATGTACAGCACATTAAGGACAGAGATCCTACATGAGGAGTAAGTGCACAGTGACTCCTGTTGTTGACTTTACAAATTGACACTCCTGTTTATGGCATCAGTAATCTCCCTATGCTCCAGTCATTAGATTCCAAGGCTATGGAAGCCCTCTGAGTTCTCCGACTCTTATCTTGTTTAGACAAGGTCATAGTCAAAGTGGAGGTTCTCTCCTCCCTTCAGAGAAAGGTACCTCCTTCTTTGAAGACCTGTTCTTTCCACTGGGATCTCACTCACAGAGATCTTTCATTTAGTTTTTTTTTTTTTTTTTTTTGCCAGAGTGTCTTGGCTTTCCATGAGAGGCTGGGAAGTTCTAAAGCAAGGCACCAACAGATTTGATTGTCTGGTGAGAGCAGCATCCTGCAGAGGGGAGAAACACTTTCTCCTCACAAGGCAAGAGGGAGAAGGGCAAGTTTATCCAACACTGCATGGAGTCTCTTTCATAAGGGCCTTAATCCCATTCCAGAGGAGGGAACCCTCATGGCCTATCACCCCCTAAAGGGGTGTTTTGAAGGGAATACTATAGCAATTTATATGCAAAAATACTGCACATCTTCAATAGACACAATTTGAAGAGTTTGGACATACACATGTCTAGTTTCATAAGAAACTGATTGCTAGCCTGTGTGGCTGTACCACTTTACATTCCTGCCAGCTCCCTATAAGGGATACCATTTACCTGTATTCATGTTTCTGCTCTTTCTACTGTGCTTTCCTGTGATGCTGTAATGATGTTTACCACCACAGTCAAGATATAGAACATTCCCATTACTGAAACAATGCCTCATCTTGCCCTTTGATAATTACATTCACTTCCCTTATGTAATCCTTCCTTTCTAACGTACCCTGTCCTTAACACCTGTAATTATTGATCTATTTTCTGTGTATATTTTCTTTACTTCAAGAAAGTTATATTAAGGGAATCCTACAATATGTCATCTTTGGGTACTGGCACTTTTCACTCAACATAATTTTCTGGACATTCATCCAGGTTGTTGTATGTATGAGTGGTTTCTTTTTCTTTTCTAAAAAAGGCAGAGTGACAGAGTGAGACAGAGGGAGATCATCCATCATCCGAGGCTGGGCCAGGTAGAAGCCAGGAGCTAGGAACTCCATTCCAGTCTTCCACGTGGGTGGCAATGGACTTAAGTATTTGAGCCATCATTTGTTGCTTCCCAGATGGCACTAGCAAGGAGCTGGATTGGAAGCAGAGTAGCTGGGACTCAAACCTGCACTCCAGTGTGCATCCTAGGTGACAGCTTAACTGCTGTGTCACAATGCCCAACCTTCCTTTTTTGTTTTCTAAAAAAATTTTCGTTTATTTATTTGAGAGGCAGAGACAGAGAGAGCTCGATCCAGGTCTCCCATGTGGGTGGCAGGGACCCAAATATTCAAGTCATCATCATGTGGACCCAGGGTGTATGTTAGCAGGAAGTTGGGATCAGGAGCAAAGCTAGGACTCAAACCCAGCCACTCTAATATGGGATGTGAGGATCCCAATTGAGATCTTAATTGCTGCACAAATGCCCACTCTGCCTCCTTTTTACTTTTGAATTGTATTCCATGATATCATGTGCCACAATGTGTTTACAGTTGCCCATTTGTGCACAATTTGTCCATTGAAAGGACATCTTGTTTTTTTTTGTTGTTGTTGTTTTTTTTTTTTTTTTTTTTTTTTTCCCCAGTTTTTGGATATTAGGAGTAAAGTTGCAGTGGACATCCAAGAGCACGTCTTTACGTAGATCTAAAGTTTTCTTTTCTCTTGAAATCAATGGCAAAGTTGCCAAGCATTATGGTAATAGTATGTTTAATTTTCTAAGAAACTGCTAACAGTTTTCTAGAGTATGTACCATTTATGAGTGATGCATTTTCTTCACATCCATATTTCTGTGTTTTCCTTTCATCTTTGGTGATGCTACAAATTTTCTATCGTAAATTCCTTTGTATTTGAGTAATTTTCTTTAGCTTTATGGTTGTTTTAGATTTCATTCCTGTTAAATATGTCTTTGTCGGGACTGGTGCTGTGGCATTGCGGGTTAAGCCTCTGCCTGGGGTAACTGGCATCCCATAAGGGTACCAGCTTGTGTCCCGGCTGATCTCTTCTGATCTAGCTTTCTGCTAGTGGCCTGGGAAAGTGGTGGAAGATGGCCCAAGTGCTTGGACTCCTGCACCCATGTAGGAGACCTGGAAGAAGCTCTGGCTCCTGGCTTTGAATTGGCCTGGCTCCAGCCTTAGTGGCTATTTAAAGAGTGAACCAGTGAATGGAAAATCTTTCTCTCTGTCTCTCCCTCCTTCTGTCTGTAACTCTGACTCTCAAATAAATAAATAAATAAATAAATCTTTTACAAAATGTCTTTATTTCCCCTATATTTTCCAAGAATAGTTTCACTGGGTATAGAATTTGCAGTTGGGGCCGGCACTGAGGCATAGCAGATAAAGCTGCTGCCTACAGTGCCAGCATCCGATATGAACACCAGTTTGAGTTCCAGCTACTCCACTTCTGATACAGCTCTCTGCTGTGGCCTGGGAGAGCAGTAGAAGATGGCCCAGGTGCTTGGGCCCCTGCATCCACGTGGGAAGACCTGGAGGAAGCTCCTGCCTTCAGATCAGTGCAGATCTGACTGTTGGGGCCAATTGGGGAGTGAATCAGCAGATGGAAGACCCCCCCCCCAGCTTCTCTTTCTCTCTCTGTGTGACTCTGACTTTCAAGTAAATGAATCTTTAAGAAAAAAGAAGTTTATCTGCACAATTTTTTAAAAAAAGAATTTGCAGTTGAGAATTTATTTTCCATCAAAATCCTTATTACAAGTCAGTGATAGCTGTTTTCTTTTTAAAAAAAAATTATTTATTGAAATGAAAGGCAGAGTCACACAGAGAGAAGGGAGAGAAAGAGAGAGAGAGAGAGATCTGCATCCATTGGTTCACTCCCCAAACAGCTGCAAGGGCTGGGCAGGCTGAGGCCAGGAGCCAGAAGCTTCTTCCAGGTCTCCCATGTGGGTATAGGGGCCCAAGCACTTGAGCCATCTTCCATGCTTTCCCAGGTACATTAGCAGGGAGCTGGATTGGAAGTGGATCAACTGGGACTCCAACGGGTGGCCATGTGGGATGCCAGCACTGCAGGTAGAGGCTTCACCTGCTATGCTACAATGCTGGCACCTAGCTGTTTTCCATTTGAACTAAAAAAAAGTTTATATTTTCAGTAATTTCAGATCTATATGTATTCAGAAATTCAGTTTATGCTTTATCCATTTCCCTCAATGATAACATATTGTAACATTACGGTATAATATCACAATCAGACATTTGTAGACTGAATCCATGTTTGTGTGTATGTGTATAAACACATGTGTGTATTTAGTTCTATGCAGTATTATCACAAGAATTTGTTTATATATCCACACTCAGTCATGATACAGAAAATTATTACTACAAGTATCACCCATATTGCCTTTTATTAACCACAACCACCTCCGCCTGGTCTTTCCTTCTACCCTGTCCCATTCTAACTGCTGATGATCAGTTATCTGACTTAGTTTTCTGTAGTTTTGTTATTAGAGTGTTGTTTAAATGGAATCAAATGTTACATAACCTTTTCTTCACTAGATGGAATTTCCTCAGGGTTGCTATCAGGTGTTGTGTGTAGCAGTAGTTCCTTCCTTTTTGCTGTTGAGTACTATTCCATGCTGTTGATGACCAATTGTTGGCTCATTGGTTCATCTCGAAAAACATCTGGGGCGTTTCTAATTTTGAGCTATTGCAAGTGAAACCAAATGAACATTCATGTACTTGTTTTTGTGTAGGCATAAATTGACATGAAATTCAGGGTCATATGGTAATCTGTGTTTCGTTTTATAATAAACTGCAAAAATTTTTTTCAAAGGCCTGTTCCAATTTAGCTTCCAACCAGTAATGTATGAGATTTTCTCCTCTTTGTGATATATCTTCTTTCTTCTTGATGTTTAAAGATTCATTCTTTCATCATATCCATTTGGTATGAATATTTTCTTTCACCCTTTCTGAAAGGATGAGTCTAAAGGGGTAAATAATTTTACTTTTCCTGCATATAAGAATGTCTATTTCTTGTACTTTTTAAAAAAAGGATTTATTTTATTTATTTGAAAGGGTTACAGAGGTAGAGACAGAGAGAGAGGTTTTCCATCCGCTGATTCACTCCCCCAGATGGCTGCAACAGCCGGAGCTGTGCCAATCCGAAGCCAGGAGTCAGGAGCTTCTTCCGGGTCTCCCACGTGGGTGCAGGGGCCCAAGGACTTGGGTCATCTTCTACTGCTTTCCCAGGCCATAGTAGAGAGCTGGATCGGAAGAGGAGCAGCCGGGACTTGAACCGGCACTAATTTGGGATGCTGGCGCTTTAGACCAAGGCTTTAACCCACTGCGCCACAGCGCTGACCCTCTTGTACTTTTCTCAGCAGTGTTTTGCTCTGTGTAAATTCATGGTTGAGAATTTCTTTTTTCCTTAAGCACCTGAAAAATATCTTCTTCCTGTAGCGATGCCAGGAAGAGTAGAAACCACACTGCAAAGCAACAATCCGGAGGCAACGAGTACCCCAACTCTATTGAAGAATGACATTAACCAGTGCTCTGCACCTTCATCTGCTGGTATTTTACCTAATTTTGGTGAGTTTCAGATGATGCTTGTTACAAGTAGCACTGTTGAATCTGGACCCATCAGTACCCTTAGCGTAAGCTGGTTGTAGCTCGTTTTCACAATTACATTTTTTAAGTGACTTGAGATTCACAGGTATATGTCAGAAATAATACGAAGTGGTGGCCTTTACACTTTACCCATTTCTCCCAGCAGTAAATAATCTTCCAAAAACACAATCAAGATATTGAAACTGATGTGATTCACAGTCATTACTGAGATGCCTCTGGGTTTACTTGTAGTAATTTGTGTGTGTTTATGTTTATTTCCATGTAAAGTTCTTACTTGAGTAGGTTTGATTTTTTCCACCACAGTGAAGATATGGAGCGTTTTCTTTACCACCAGGTGGCCTCATCTTGCTCTTTTATAACCACGCCCACCTCTCTATCCTTTGTGACTGCCTGTTCCCTAATCCATGGTTAATAGTGGTCTTTATAATTTTTTTTTCTCAGTCAGCATAAATGCCTGAAGACTCACATAGGTTGTGGTGGGTGTCAATACTTTCTCACACTTTAAACATTATTGATTTATTTCCAAGCCCACTCCCCCCCACCTTGCCTCACACTCACATACATAGCTCTTCTGTCCACTGGTTCACTACCCACAGGCCCACAACAGCTGTGACTGGGCCAGGCTGAAGCCAGGAACCCAGACTCAGCCCAGGTCTCCTATGTGGGCATCAGGGACCCAAGTACTTGAGCCATCACCTGCTGCCTCACTACATGTGCATTAGCAGGAAGCTGGCTTGGAAGCAGAGCCATGGGTTGAACCCAGGCACTGTATCGGGTATGAGCATCCCAATGGCTTCTTAACCCTGTGCCAAATGCTTGTCCCGGTTCCTCCCTTGTTATTCCTGAGTAGTTTTATCAACCTGCCCTTTGATAGCCATACCACACTCTCTTGGGGAATCCCTTCCCTGCCCCAATGGTATGATCTTTCTTTCCTCTGTTCTTCCTTCCTTCCTGCTGCTCCACGTTTCTTTACTTCATCACACCCTTTCTGTTTGAGGACCTCCCTTTAGTCTTCTTATGGGTAAGTCTGCTAGAGACAGGTTCAGTTAGTTTTCCTTTGTATGCAAATACCTTTTTTCATCTTTTCTAGATGAAAGAAACACTCATGATTCAGTGTTATTTTTTTCAGGAGTTGAAAAAGTTGTCCTCATAGAAGTGCCAGAAGATGGAGAAAATGTGCTGAAAGACAGCTCTGAGACAAGATATTACCCAGCTTTATTGGGAAATATCGTTCCCACCAATGTTGATCCTTCATCTGGCACTGCTGTACCCTGTTTTGGTGAGTTTGAAATGCTTCATGTTCCAAGTATTGAATGTCGATTCAGCAGCATTCTTTAATTAGTTCTTTGTGATTGCTTTTGAAAAATTAAACTTCTTATTTTGAATTGTTTTGGAACCAGAGGCTGCTGTCAAATAATACAGACAGCTCTTCTGTGTTCTTTACCTGGTTTCCCTCTATAGTAATATTTTGCCAAAATATAATAAAATATCATAACCAGATGTCGACATCAATATAATCCACATCTTATTGAAATGTGCTCAGCTTTCCTTGTGTACCTTTGTGTGTGCAGGTGTGTGTTTGTCTCTAACAGGTTAGTGTTTGGCGTTTTCATCTTGTGAGTGAGGTTGTGTGTTTACCTCCACAGCCAAGGGAGAGATCACTTTCTGCCATGCCTAGAGCTTCAGATCACTATTTGATAACCACACCTATCTTTTTCAGGTCTCCCTTTCCTTCCCCCATTGACCCATCCCCATCATCTGGCTGCCGAGGAGCTCTTCTCCATCTTGTCTCTTCAGATTATATAAGTGGCATTGCACTTGAGATTGGCTTTTATCACTCAACTTAATTTCCTGGAAACTCACGTAGTAATAATTTATTCCTTTTATTGCTGAGCAGTATACTGCCTGTATACTACATTTTGTTTAACTGTTCACCTATTGAATAACATCTGGCTTTTTTTACTTTAGATTTTATATATTGGGAATAATGCTGTTGTGAATATTCATGTACACATGTTTGTATAAATGCAATTTTTCATTTTTTAAGATTTATTTTATTTATTTGAAAGACAGAGTTACAGAGAGAGGTAGAGACAGAGAGAGAGGTCTTCCATCCGCTGATTCACTCCCCAGATGGCTGCAATGGCTGGAGCTGTGCCGATCTGAAGCCAGGAGCTTCTTCCAGGTCTCCCACGTGGGTGCAGGGGCCCAAGGACTTGGGCTGTCTTCTACTGCTTTCCCAGACCACAACAGAGAGCTGGATCGGAAGTGGAGCAGCTGGGACTAAAGCCAGCACCCATATGCGATGCCGACACTTCAGGCCAGGGCTTTAACCTGCTGCGCCACAGTGCAGGCCCCATGATTTTTCATTTTTTTTAATTTTTAAAATTTATTTTTAATTTTTTGACTGGCAGAGTGGACAGTGAGAGAGAGAGACAGAGAGAAAGGTCTTCCTTTGCCGTTGGTTCACCCTCCAATGGCCGCCGCGGCTGGTGCGCTGAGGCCAGCGCATTGCACTGATCTGAAGCCAGGAGCCAGGTGCTTCTCCTGGTCTCCCATGCGGGTGCAGGGCCCAAGCACTTGGGCCATCCTCCACTGCACTCCCGGGCCACAGCAGAGAGCTGGACTGGAAGAGGGGCAACTGGGACAGAATCCGGCACCCCGACCGGGACTAGAACCCGGGGTGCGGGCGCCGCAGGCGGAGGATTAGCCTAGTGAGCTGTGGCGCTGGCCAATTTTTCATTTTTAATAGTTCCTTTATATTGATGAATCTCATGATATAAAATATGAACAATTCAGAAAAACTATTTGCCCTTTGAAAGACATCTATCAGGTTTTTTTAATTCTGTTTTTTGATATTGCAATCAAAGCTGTTATGAGCATTTATGTACTGGTTTTTGTGTAAATATAAGTTTTAATTTTTCTATCATGAATACCAAGAGAACAATTGTTGGGTCTTATGATAATAGCATGTTTCATTGTATGAGAAACTGCCAAACAGTTGTCCAGAGAGCTTGCACTATTTTGTATTTCCAATAGTGATGTAGGAGAGACCCAATTTCTCTGCATCTATATTTCTGGTCTTTCCATTGTGTTCCCTGCTCCTTGATGTTCCAAGATACTGGAATTCTTCTGTAATGTCTTTTCTCTTAGAAGATTTTCCTGTAGCTAAATCTGCCAGGGACCAAATCTTTTAATTTTCTTTTTGTGGAGATATCTTCATTTTCCCTTCTTTCCTAAAAGGTTATTTCGCCCAGTCTACAATTCATGATTGGGAGTTCTTGTCTTTCAGTATTTGAAAAAGTTATACTCATAGAGGTGCCAGGAAATGCAGAAGGAAGCCAGGAAAACAACCAGCAGGCAATGAATTGCCCACCTTCATTTGGAAATGACAGTGACCAAGCTGCTGCCTCTTCATCTGCTTCCATTTCTCCTGATTTTGGTAAGTTTGAAATGATATGTGGTACAGGTAACACTGTTTAACCTAGGCCCATTAACATCTTTAATGCAAAATTAGTGGCAGTTCATTATTAAACTTAACTTTCAATTTTGTGCTAATTTGAAATTTGTAAGAAATAATATCCTTTACACTTTGCCCATTTATCTCAACAGTAACATTTTCCAAAATGTAATAGAACATTACAACCAAGATGCTGACATTGATACAACTCACAGATCTTACTGAGGTTTCCCTAGTTTACTTGTATTAATCTGTATGTATGCATTTAGCTCCATTAGGTTTTGTCATAGGAGTAAGTTTGATATCTACCACCATAGTCAAGATACACATTTCTTTTCTGTTTTTAAAAGATGCATTTATTTATTTTAGAGGCAGAGTTACAGATAGGGACAGGGAGAGACAGAGAGGTCTTCCATCTGCTGGTTCACTCCCCAAATGGCTGCAATCTGGGCCCATCCAAATCCAGGAGCCAAGAGCTTCTTCCAGGTCTCCCCCGTGGGTGCAGAGGCCCAAGCATTTGAGCCGTCTTGCACTGCTTTTTCTCAGGACATTAGCAGGGAGCTGGATTGGAAGTAGAGTAGCCAGGACTTGAACTGGTGTCCACATGGGATGCCAGTGCCGCAGGCAGAAGCTTAACCTAATATGCCATAGCGCCTGCCCCAGATACACATTTCTTTTAACAGCAGGATGTCTTTTTTTTTAAAAAAAAAACTTTATTTATTTATTTGAAAGGCAGAGTTACAGAGAGGCAGAGGCAGAGAGAGAAAGTCTTCCATCTACTGGTTCACTCCCTAAATGGCCTCAGTGGCCAGAGCTGAGCAGATCCAAAGCCAGGAGCCTGGAGTTTCTTCTGGGTCTCCCACATGGATGCAGGGGCCCAAGGACTTGGGCCATCCTCCACTGCTTTCCTAAGGCATAGCAGAGAGTTGGATCAGAAGTGGAGCAGCCAGGGCTCAAACTGGTGCCCATAAGGGACGCCAGTACTGCAGGTGGTGGCCTTACCTGTTACAACCACAGTGCCAGCCCCTCATCTTACTTTTTTATAGCCATCTGGCCTCAGCATAATTCTCTGGAGATTCATCCAATTTGTTGCATGTATCAATAGTCCTTTCTTATTGCTGAATGATATTCCACAGGATCGATATATTACAGCTTGGTTATCTGTTTACTTGTGGAAGGACATCTGGGTTGTTTCTGAGTTTTGATTCATGAAGTAAAGTTGCTGTGACCTTTCACATTTAGGTGTCTGTGTAAACCCAAGTTGTGATGTGTCTTGGATAAATGTACAAGAGTGCACATACTTGATTGTATGGTAATTGCATGCTTAGTTTTATAAGAAGCTGCCAGGTTATTTTTTAAATTATTTATTTATTTGAAAGGCAGAGTTACAGAGGCTGGGGTGGGGGAGGAAGTCTTCCATCTGCTGATTCGCTCCCCAAGTGGCAATGGTCGGAACTAGGCCAGTCATTTGACGCTAGGTGCCAGGAGCTTCCTCCAGGTCTCCCACGTGGGTGCAGGGGCCCAAGGACTTGCGCCATCTTCCACTGCCTTCCCAGGTGCATTAGCAGGGAACTGGATCAGAAGTGGTGCAGCCGGGACTCAAACTGGTGCCCATATGGGATGTTGGCACTACAGGCGGTGGCTTTACCCACTATGCCACAGTGCCAGCCCCAGAAGCTGCCAGGTGATTTTTCCAGAGAAATTGTACCACTTTGTATTCCTACCAGCCATATGTGAGTGATCCACTTTGTCCACAAACATTTTTTTTTTTTTGACAGGCAGAGTGGACAGTGAGAGAGAGAGACAGAGAGAAAGGTCTTCCTTTGCCGTTGGTTCACCCTCCAATGGCCGCCGCGCCGGCGTGCTGCGGCCGGCGCACCGCGCTGATCCGGTGGCAGGAGCCAGGAGCCAGGTGCTTTTCCTGGTCTCCCATGGGGTGCAGGGCCCAAGCACCTGGGCCATCCTCCACTGCACTCCCTGGCCACAGCAGAGGGCTGGCCTGGAAGAGGGGCAACCGGGACAGAATCGGGCGCCCCGACCGGGACTAGAACCCGGTGTGCCGGCGCCGCTAGGCGGAGGATTAGCGTAGTGAGCCGCGGCGCCAACCCACAAACATTTTTTTTGAACTGCTTTCGTTTTTTTCTTTTCCATTTTGATGCCCCAAGATTGACTCATCTTTCTTTTTTGTTTGAAGATTTCCCTTTAATTATTCTTAAAATGTATAACAAGCACTTCGAGGTTGCCCTTGTGTGAGAATGTATTTCCCGTTTGGTCTTGAAGGGTTGTTTTGCCTGATACAGAATTCTGGTTGAGATTGTCTTACTTTCCAGTGCTTGAAAATATTTTATTTATAGAAATGCTGGAAGAACTACAGGGCAACCTGGAAGCAAGCACTGAGACAGCAAGTCATGCACCATCATTGGGAAGTGACAGTGACCCAAATGCTTTCTCACCAACTGACTGCCTCCTTTGCAATTTGAGTGAGTTTGAAATGATACTTATTACTTGAAGTACTATTGAAGCAAGACTCTGTGAGACCTGGAATGTAACATAGTGGTAGCTTTTTGTAATTAAAGCTTTTATTTTCAGAAAAATTTAGCTGCAGTGTCATCATCATAAATACTACAGAGTTATCCTGTGTTTCCATTCTCTAGTTTTCCCCAGTGGTAACATCTTACATCCCTGCCTTTCAAATAAAATGAAAATATAGAAAAATTTAAGATTTAGTTTTATAAGAAACTGACAAATTGGTTTTCAGTGTGGCTATACCATTTGGCATCCCTGCTAGCAGCATGTGAGTGGCCCGGTTTCTCTGCAGCCATATTGCTGGTTTTCCCCTTGTTCACAGTTCCCGAGGCTCCATTCCTTCTGACATGTCCTTTCTTGGTGAAAAATTTCCTTCAACTATTTTTTGAGTGTAAATCAGATGGTAACAAATACTTTTGGTTTTCTTTTGTCTATGAAATATCTTTCTTTTTACATCATTCCTGAAAGATAGCTTCACTGAATGTAGAATATGTGATTGAGAGTGTCTTAGCTTTTTGTCTCCTTCCTTTTCCCCCACCCATCCACTCTCCCACCCTCCCTCTGTCCTTCCCCTTCTTCTCCCTTCTTCTCCCTCCTTCTCCCTCCTTCTCCCTCCTCTCCTCTCCTCTCCTCTTCTCTCCTCTCCTTTCTTCTCCTCTCCTCTCCTTTCTGTCTCTGTCTTTCTGTTTTCCTTTGTCTCTTTTTCTATTGTCCCTCTCTCCTCTCTGCCCCTCTCCTATCCCCCCTTCTCTTCTCTCTCCTACTTTCTCTCTACCTCCT